AACATGACTTCATTTATTAGTTTGAAATTAAGACAACATCCCTTAAATTGCTAATCCAAGATCCGAATAGACTAAAACCCGGGTCAAACCCGGATCCAAAAGAATTAAAGCAAAAAAGTACTATAAAAATGTATATGTAGATACGTGTTTTTCATCAAAATATCTTTAAAGTGAAACGGACAAAACATTGATTTCTTTCATCTTTTTATTATTATTACAGGAGGAATCTTAAGTCCAAAGTGAGAAAAGTTTCTCATAGCTAGTGTACAGAAATTATTATTAGTTTCTATGTAATGGTACAAACCACATATATTTCGAAGTCCCAAAGTTTGAGTATTTACATGGCGACTTTGTATTTTTTGTTGGAATTTACCCTTTTTTTTATTAGAAGGGATTCTTGTCATTACATAACTACATAGTAAACTAATAATAGCTTTATTTTAGGTTGATAGTGAACGTTTCGTGTGACTCTAAGAACATGATTATAGGTAGTCTCTTAGAAATATATCTTAGCAATATTTAAGTAATTTATTTGTAAAAGTGATTGTTAAGAGATAGTATTTTTGAGTTAAGATTTTTGTGTGATTAATGGTAGGCTCTTAACATGTGGTTCTTAGAAAAAAAAATATTAATATAAAAACAAAAATTATAATTATAGAAAATTTAATAATTGTTGCAAATTAAAAAAATTAAAACATACATGAGATACAATTTATAACATAAATAACATAAAACACAAAATTGCGGCTTGCTGACGATCACTGTAATAGTCCAAAGAATTATCCAACGCTTGCTGGAAAGCATTGGATAATTCTTCGTCCAACGCTTCTTCGAAATTGTAATTGGAAGATGATGCTATTTTGTATCTAGAATTTTTAGGAAGAAAAGGTTTTGGGTTTAGAACAAGGATTTGACGTGAAAAGAAATTGTTGGTTTTAGGAAGAAGGATTTTTACGAAGAAGGATTTGGATTTTTTTAGGAAGAAATTGTTGGTTTTAGAAACAAGGATTTGGATTTTTTTTAGTATATTGTTGGTTTTAGAATTTTTAGGAAGAACAATTTGGATTTTTTTTAGGAAGAAATTTGTAAGAAAAAAAGAGACAGAATAGAAGATAATTGAAGGTGGTATTACAAGTTGATATTCATCAATTCCACTCATAATTCCATGAAAGCAAGTCATTGTACAATGAGTTCTCTTTCCCATACTTCTTCTCAAAGATGTCTCGAAGATCTCCAAGCTCAGGAATCTCAGAGCATCTAGGTGCAGCAACAATCAAACTAGCAATACCTTCCTTAAGATCCACAAGACATTGCCTAAAAAAACTAGCAATACCAAATTCATTTCATGACGAATGCAGCAACCGATAAGGCTCCGATGTAAATACCAGTCAAGCAAAGAAAGAAGAATGCCAAGAAGCCTCCAGCAACAGCAAGTGAAATCAGAAGAGAGATTATGATAGCATTAGCTGTTGCAGCTACAAAGAAGAGTGTGAAGACAACCAAAGCCATTGTTGTAAGAAGAAATATTGTTCCCATCTGCAACAAGAATAACAGGATAATAACAAATCAATATAATATGAGATACCCACGAAACTTGACTCAAATGGGTTCAATAAAACACTAAACTTTTCAATAAAGCATCAAACTTTTCATCAATGGTAAAGAGACACAGAACCAAGACGATTTAGGACACAAAATGTTAATTTACTTCAGGAAATCGAATTGAAGATAAAGGAAGGCTAAATTGAAATTGAAATTAGTCTCTAATTAGGTTCAATCATTGATCAAAGTCCACTTACAGTGATGACAAGCAGAGCACGAAGCGAGCTGCTTCTACGAGTCCATAGAAGAATCTCGCGTCCTGTTCTTTCAGAAGCTTCTCGAAGCTTAGGCCCATTTTCGGCGACGGAGTTTCTTACACGTTCAAGAAACGAAGACGACGCATCACTAGTTTTCGAATTTGGGAACAAAATCGAACCTGAGACAAATCAAGGAATAGAGACTCTTCAAATCCTCATGCTTCTCTACAGAGTCCGGTTTACGATAACCATTCTTCGTTCGTTGACAATTTCTTCTCCGACATCATCGCCACCGACAACGTCGACAATTTCTTCTCCTGTTTTTCTCTGTTTGGGGAAATCGCGAAGAGAGAGAGAAAACGCGACACCTGGCACCTTTTAATACTGAAAACGTTCCTTAGCTAAGGAACGTTCCTTAGTTAAAAGCAGCATTATCAATTTAATTTAAATCATTTAAAAACTTAAGATTCACTTAACATCCCACCGATAATCATGCTCTAAGAGATTAAAATCCGACAAACATTCGAACTTTGACTTTTTCGTCTGCGCTCTTTTCTTGGCGCAAATACCAAGTCTCAACGTCCAACTCCTCTCGCTCCTTTCTTACAGATCTAAATAGAACATGTGATATATATAGCAATGAAATGATCAATCGAATTTGTATATAAGGTCAAAACTTCCACCAATTCTAATATTGTCAAAAAAAATAATTATCAGCTCCATTTAAGATCCAACATCCCTCATCATCAAGTCTCCTTAATAAACATTCGAACTTCTCAACGATTCATCTCATAATAAAAAGGAAGAAAATACACTTTCCAGAAAAAGATCAAAAAACCGAAAAAATGTTTTCAAATATTTTTGGATCGGTCCCTATCTTGGTCGTGGTGGCTATACAACTTCTCCTTTTACACAATGTTTCTTCCCAGAACGTTACCAATGAGTATTTGAACCACCAATGCAACAACACCCAAGGGAAATACACTCATGGGAGTACGTTCGAGAAGAACCTCAACCAAGTCCTCCATAACATCTCTGACCTCGATCTTAGATACGGTTACGCCTACATCTCCAATGTTGTGGCTTACAAAGTTAGCAAGGATCCCAACATTGTCTTTGTTTTGCTCCAGTGCCGCGGTGACTCCTTTGGGTCCAAGTGCCACTCCTGCCTTAGGACAGCCGTTTCTGGGGTAATTTCAATTCAATATAATATATTAGAAGTCACATATTTACATATATAAATGTGCATACATATGTGCAATCATGTTTAAATCATAACGATGATTATATAAAAGATCTATGATGAACCTAGCTAGTAAGGTTTTATTGATAAAACTAATACACATTTAAGGCTAGTACAATATAAATTTATCGTATGTAAATTAGTCCATGCAATGATGTTCTTGACTGTCTATTTAAATGTGTATATATATGACAGCTTCGTGAGAGATGTCCGGGAAACAGAGGAGCAACAATATGGTACGACCAATGTCTTTTGGAGATTTCTTCGGTGGATTCTGAGGGGAGGATCCATTACAAAAGTATGTTCTATATGCAAAACCCAAAGAACGTCACCAACGATCCCAAGCGGTTCGAAGATAAAAGGAGGGATCTCCTCCACAAGCTAATGCTGGAAGCCACCAAGGATAGCAAGGAAAATGCCGCCAAGGGACTGTTGTATGCAGTGGGTGAGATGAGGATTGGCAGAAATAAGATGTATGCAGTGGTGCAGTGTACGCAAGACTTATGGCAGACTGGTTGCCATGTGTGTCTAGAATGGATCACGCAGATGAAATATGGAGAGTACTTCTACCGTAAACCAGGAGGGAGGGTTTATGGTAGGAGTTGTAGCTTTAGGTATGAGCTTTACCCTTTTCTTAGTAGGTAAAGTACTTTTGAGGGAAAAAAAGATAGAAAGTAAAGGACTTTTTTTTTTTCTATTTAATGAGAAGCTCCATTACTCTCCCCCTCTCAGCTCTCAGCTCTCACTCTCTCATATATATTGCGAAGTGTTTAAATAAGTGCAATGGGCGAATAAAAAATGTTCTCCTCTTTTTGGTTAGTTTTGTATAACACACGTTCTAATTAACTACTTGTTTGATTTTATTTGTTCCTTAAAAGAAAAAAAAAAGAAAAAAACCCTCAGGAGAAACAGTATGGTTTGGAGAATTCTTCTAACTTTTCTATTAATAGTATGTAACACACATTCAAAATTGTATGTATTATTAGCTTTAATAGTTTCAATTGTATGAAATTTTTCAATTTAAAAAAAATGAAGACGACGATATTTTCGCAATATATTTCCGACGTAATAAATATTCCATTATTTCCCCGTTAAAGTTGATTGCAATTCCATAAGTAGATAGTGATAATGGTTACCTAAATCTTTCTATTTACATTTTTTTATCAATCTGATATACTTCTGAAAATATTTAGCTAATTAATTGGTGGGCAAAAGTACGACATCTTATCTTCCCTCATATCCTTAGGAAGTGAGGCAATGGAAAGACTACTTGGTTCTGCACCGAAAATTGGTTTCCATAGGGTCTTCTCCGAGACATCATCCGCATGAATGGACCAGCTACACTTGGTATTATACCTTGACGTCAATAGTTGTCGAGGTATTGAAATAATGGTAATTAAATCATCCGTAAACTCAATCTGAAACTTAAGTAAATGCAATTTTTCCTTTCAACAACCTTTTTGGATGATGAAGTCAATTCCTCTGTGTGACTGTTCAACGACAAAGTGCACAAATTCGTTGTCAGTAATTAGAAGATGTGAAAATAAAATATGTGAACTGGCACCCTCTAGTTTGGAATGTATGTTCAAACTGATTTTAAATTTGTATTCATTTCATTATGTAGTAGACATTAATATTTAATAGTAGACGGAAATTCATATACATACGGAATACGGAACAAACTAACACTACCTTTCTTTCAGGTCGAAACTGAAAGTATTGTGTGATTAAAAATACCCAAACCTTTAAACTATGACTTTTTCATAGGCGCTCCTCTTCCTTCGCCACAAATACATACTAACATTTTCTTTTTAAATAGAGAGTAAAATGATCAATCGAATTTTTTGAAGGCAACCGCAGAATAGGAAAATTCCAGCAACATATTCACTTAATAGCCATAATACCTCAAGTCTCCTATATAAACATTCCCACTCCTTAACGTTTCATCTAATGAAAAAACACCATCTCCGGTAAAAAGATCAAAAGATCCCAAACAATGCTTTCAATATTTGGATCGGTCCATATCTTGGCTGTGGTGGCCATACAACTCCTAATTATACCAAGTGTTTCATCCCTTAACCTTACAAATGCGTATTTGCACCACAAATGTAACAACACCGAAGGAAAATATAGCTACGGGAGTGCGCAGGGCCGGCGCAGAGGGCAAGCCACCGAAGCCACCGATTAGGGCCTCAAAATTTGAGGGCCTTTTTACCTAAAAATTTGATAAGTTTTCTTATATACAATAATTTTTGTAGGGCTTTTTAAAAATATTGTTGGCTTTTAGAGACAACTACAACATTCTTTTTAATGGTAAAAATCTAATTTAAAAGAATTTTTTTTTTTATGGCTTTAATTTTGCTTAGGGCACCCAAATTTACCGGGCCGGCACTGGGAGTGCGTTTGAGAAATATATCAACTTAGCTCTCCGTGCCATGGATTCAGACAATTTTCTCAATGGTTTCGGCTTTATTGAGAGAGGTGAGGATCCCAATAAAGTCTTCGTCATGTACCAATGTCGCGGTGACTCCTACGGGTCTAAGTGCCAATCCTGCATAAGCGCTGCCGTCTCAGGGGTAATTGTCACTTCAATTTTTTTTTTTCTTTTTTTCAATTTTGTTAATTAGCCAACATACATTTACATATAAAATTGCCAGCACAAATACACGTCATTTTTTTGTTTGGTTAAGATCTTAGAGTAGAGATATATCCGATGATCTTGACACTCTACATAAATCAATGAATTGAGATAAAAAAAGTGATAAAAATCTAAGGGTTGTACAAAATACTAAATATAATAAGAAGATTGTGACCCAAACTACAAAAAATGAAGATTAAACAATGCAATATTTTTCTTGACGGCGGTGTCGACATATATGGATATGTATATGACAGCTTCGTAGGAGATGTCCAAGAAACAAGGGGGCAGTAATATGGTATGACCAATGTCTTTTTGAGATATCTACGATCAACTCCTTCAATAAGATTGATTACGAGAACGATTTCTATTTGTCAAACCCGAAAAACGTGAATGATAAGGAGTTGTTCAACAAAGAGACGTCGGCTCTCTTGGTGGAGCTAACAAATAAAGCCACCGATAAAAATAACATGGTAGGGAATCAATTTGTGCTGTACGCGGCGGGGGAAAAGAGAATTGGAACGAAGAATGTGTATGCAATGGTGCAGTGTACGAAAGACTTAGTGACTACAACTTGCGCTGCGTGTTTCGAATGGATTTTCAAGATGTTTTCAAAGTGCTGTGATGGAAAGCGAGGAGGGAGAGTTTTGGGTACGAGCTGTAACTTTAGGTATGAGTTATATCCCTTTCTTAGAAATTAACGACTGTACAGTGAGAGCTCTATATTAAACGAAAGGGGTCCAGAGTCAAAATACGGTCTTATACTTTGGTAGTTGTTTTGGACGAATAAATGTATTTCCTCTTTGTAATTTCTTTTGTTAACATGCATAACTCATTTAAAGAAGAAGAAGTTATATTAGGTTTTAAAACAAACTAATTTGAGGAATCATAGTATTTATAATACCCTAACGATCTAATCCTAGAAAAATGAGGCCATATTTAAAAAGGTACCGGTGTTCTAGTATCTTCGTCCCACTAAATATCACCCTTTCACCCGAATGAGGAGGCCAAAAGGAAAGGAGAAGCTCATACGCCCTAAAAACATTTAGTAATTCTAAATCTGAAATGATCTTCAAAATTTGGTTTAAGGTGAATTAGGTAACCAGAAAATGATATAGCAACTATTGTTATAATTCGTAATTCAAATGTTATTCAGCCTTTAGCTTCCAAGGCTGGCTTCAAAATCGAGTTTAAATTCTAGCATCTCAATATAATACATGCCTCTCAATTAATTTCTATCAAACATATGATGCATTTGAACAAACGTTAATTTTTCTTTGAATTTAATTTAATATTACATTGAAAAAAAATGTTTTTCAGCTTTTCACTACAAGAATATTGATTTTTAATAGCATTGAAAGATAACGTTTTATATAGTTATGCTATCGTTGACTTACCTCTAACTTTTCGATAGCGTTTTAAATTTATAAACGCTATGATATCTTCTCGTATAATTTTTTGAGTTTTTTTAGTTTTGTAAACATGGTCTGTAAGAGCACATACCATATTGAAACGCTAAAAAAGAGTTAGCGGGAATTAAAATTATTCACTGCCGCCCTTAGTAAAAATTTGGGCTCCAACGAAAAAGACTAAAATCTGGGCTCCAATTAAAAGTTTATTTAACCTAATTTTTTTCCCTTTTGCTCTATAACCTTTGACATTCTTCCCCTTTGTTTGATTTTAGATATTTCTTCGCTTTCCCTTTTGTTTGCTCTCTAGTTCTTTCGTTCCTGTTTGCTCTCTCTTTCGAATTTTGTTCTCCTCTCCTTCTCTCTTCTTTCACTGTATCTTAGTATCCTTCCTCCTAAAACCCTAACCTCTCGCATCCATCGCTTGTCACAAAACCTCGCCGCCAAGCAAGGATTTCCAATCTGATTCTACAACCAAACCCTGGATCTTGCCTCTCAACAAGGACCGCTCCAATCGATGTTCAATACTTTGCTCGCAATTTTGTTTTCTGGATCTAACAACCTAAATCTGTCATCATCTTTGTCAAAGCCAGAGCTCCCATTAACCAACCAGCTTCGCTCTCTCCGAATACATGGAGCAACACGACACTGAAAATGCCTTTCTCAAATGTTCAATTGATTACTCAGATGGCTCTTATTCCTTACCTCTCACTAACCGTGAAGTTCAGGTTTTCTATTTTTCTAATTCCAGATCTAAAATCCCTAACATTATCAGTGATTGAGAAGCGTTATTTATCCCTTTTACTCGCTTTTGATATAGGCTATCATCATCACCATATTACCCTTTACATTTCTCTGCGATTGGTTTCTTATGGGTCGGTTTCAGAGTTTTCGGCTTCTTCATTTCTTTTTATGGTCATATTGTTCTTGTTTTTTTTTTATGGTCGTGTTGAGATTTGATCAAGGAATTAAGATATTAATTACCGTTTGGACTTCCACGTTTTCAGATGGCTAGCAAAGTAGCAATATCATCTTGTTCAAGGATATTTTTGTTGTCGATAAGCTGCTGATGGCAAAAAAAATTGATAAAGGTATATACTTTCTTAACCTCTAATTAATTTTTGTTCGTAGTTGTTTTGTTGGTTTGACCATGTGTAATGAATTGATTTTACAGGGGCTTTTTGTTAAATGGTGGTGTGCTGTGTTGTAGTCAACTAGAGAAATCAAGATTGTGAATACACCTTGGTGAATATATGTATCGATCTTTAGACGTTTCCAAATAGAAAACAATTGTGATATGTATTGTTGTTCTTAATTAAATACAGATCTTTTTGGTTTCTTATTAAGAATTTTTATTATTACAATTATTGATTATTTTGGGTCTTTGTAAAAATGATATTAGATCTCTTATTAATAAAATTCAAATTCAAAATTCAAATCCATATATTATGAATAATAGCTTTGATAACAAAATTGAAGTGTTATTGTAAAGTATACAATAGCAGATATAAATCTGCTATTAATATTTGAATTTAGATAGCACATACAAAAACCGCTATCTAAAGTGTCTGACCTATTATGACGGGCGCAGATATAGCGCTTGTCAAAACGCTATGGAATAGTTAGATAGCGTTATTCAGATGCTACGAAAAGCCATTTTTCTTGTAGTGTTTTTTTCTTTCTTTTGGTAAATTATCTAGATGCATACAAATTTAAGATAAATGGTAAACGAAGAAGTCATATATACAAAATGCTAATGAGATGAAACTGTATGTTGGAATGCAATTAGATCTGAGAATTAAGTATTCATGTCATTACATAGTAGACGAGAAGTCATTTGTATATAACTAAAAACTTTGACTTTTTCATCGGCGATCCTCTTCCCTCGCCGGAAATACCAAGTCGCAATGTCCAACTCCTCTCTCCTGCCTTACAGACTAATTTTTTTTTTAACAGAAACTAAAATGAGCAATCGAATGTATTTATGCAACCAAAAATTGACAACTTCCAGAAATTCTAATAATTATCAAATGGTTAAAAAAAAATCTTCACTTAATAGCCATATTTCCTCGAGTCTCCTATATAAACATCTAGGAAGCACGGAATCTTCGTCGGAGGTCCGCTTCCCGCTTCAGAATCTTAGTCGGAATCGGAAGCTCTTGGAAGCTTTCGGAATCTCGCTTCCATCGCGTTTCCAAAAATTCAACTTTGGAAGCTCGTTGGAAGCTTACGATTCCGGTTTGGAAGCTTGCGCTTCCATTTTATAAATTCAATTTTACAAATAAAACATGAAATTATTATTTTTAATCAAACAAACTCAAACTAAAAATTTTGCATACTAATCTTTGTATTTTATTTTTAACAAAATCATGTTTAGAAAATAGCAATGACATGAATCTAATATGTGAGAGATATTATAAATGATTAATTAATTTAGATTAATTTCGAGAGACTTGAGTTTGATCATATTTTTACCTATAATATACATAATTTGAAACGATTTTGTTTGATGTTATTTAAAAAAAGAATGAATATAGTGTTATAATTTTTTTCTTGAATTATTTGATTTTGTTTGTTGTAAAAATTGGTTTAATTTTTAAATTTAGTTTTTAAAATTTATTTATTAGATTTATGGGGTTAATATAACTTGTAATATCATATAATGTTTAATATATAGTTATATATATATACATATATATATATATTCTTTATATATACTATACGCTTCCATCGCGTACCGCTTCCGTAAAATTTTCTAAAAAATCGCTTCAGCGCTTCTAAACGATTCTGTTTCCGCGTACCCGCTCCCGTTTCCATGCAACATAGATAAACATTAAACTCCTTAACATTTCGTCTAATGTAAAAAGATCCACTCCCAAAAAACAGATCAAAGATCCAAAACAATGTCTACAACTTTTGGATCGGTCCCTATCTTGACCGTGGTAGCCATACAACTCTTTCTTATACGCAATGTTTTGTCCCTGAACCTTACTAATGCGTATCTGCACCACAAATGCAACAACACCCAAGGGATATACAAGCGGGGAACTGCGTTCGAGAAAAATCTAAACATAGCCCTCCGTACTGTCATTTTTAATGGCGATTTTCGCACCGGTTTCCGATATGGCGATGTAGGTGAGGATCCAAATACTGTCTTTGTCATGTACCAATGTCGCGGTGACTCCTATTGGTCCAACTGCCGAACTTGCGTCACCACCGCCCTCTCAGGGGTAACTATAAAAATTCAATATTATTAATTTATCAGTCACATGTTTACATGTCACATTGTGCCAGTACACACATTAATAATTTTTTGGTTAAATCTTAGATATTAAAACAAAACATAATGACATTTAAGGCTAGTACAAAAGCACTATTATATGAAATTAAACCATACAATATTGTTTTTGACTGTGGTGTTGATATATATGGATATGCATATGACAGCTTCGAAAGAGATGTCCAGGAAACAAGGGGGCAATAATATGGTATGACCAATGTCTTTTCGAGATATCTACTATATCGATTCCTACCATAAGATCGATTACGAGAACGATTTCTTTTTGTCAAACCCAAAAAACGTGAGCAATCGAGAGTTGTTCAACAGGGAGACATCGGCTCTCCTTGAGAAGCTAACAAATAAAGCGACCGATAAAAAGAACATAGATGGTGCCAATCAATTGGTTTTGTACGCAGCGGGGGAGAAGAGAATTGGGACGAAGAAGGTGTACGCAATGGTGCAGTGTACGAAAGACTTAGTGTTTACAACTTGCTCATCGTGTTTGGAATGGATTTTCAGGATGTATTCAGAGTGCTGTGATGGTAAACAAGGAGGAAGAGTTTTAAGTACTAGTTGTAACTTTAGGTATGAGTTATATCCTTTTCTTAGAAATTAACGATACAGTGAGACTTCCATATTAAATGAAAGAGGTCCATGAGTACACGGTCTTATATATATGTACATTTTGTTGAGCTAATTTGAATACAGCACAAAATACGTTTTGAGCGATTAACTGCACTTTGCTTTATTTCGTATTTTATTGTCAGCATAATTCATGAAAAGAGACTCTATTGTAAGGGGAAAAAAATCTAAGAGTAATATACATCCCACATAGAACACAGCCAAACCCATAAAAGATAAACTATACTCTCTCGTAATTGTGAAATAAGAGTAGCTAAAGCTCTTGTGAGTTGTGACCATTGTTTTTAGCAAAGGCCAATTATGGCCGGAATAGTCCACAAATGGATACGCACAAGCATGCAACTATAGTACGTTAAGTAACAAGTTTCAAGAAGACGCTCTAGAGGAATGATGGTATAAAATAATAAAATCATCGTAGAACCACATTAGAGGAAGACCAAAAAATTGAAGTTAAAAAGTTTGGATTTCAAGATGAGTACAATGATCGATGTCATGGGTATAAAACTAGAAATTGTTTAAATGTTCTATTTTCGAACGCAATTGAGGTGACCATCGTTGAGAAGCCAAACGAGCGAAAAAAATTTCACCCACTCATCCAAAAAAAGAATGCCAAGAAGGCCAAGCCCAAGGGAAGAAGCGGAGCTCAGATGACCGAGAGAGATCACCGGCAATATATATGACCTAAATACAATTATTCTAAAACCTGAATAATCAACAGATTTTATATAATAACCAGAAAATGAAAACAGAATATGTAATAATTATCAAATACAATGTTTTCAGCTTTTATTTTTCTTTCAAATTTTCTAGCAACATACAAGCCTAACGTTAATATTAGACAAAAAGACGTATAACATGATAATGAGATGAAACTGTAATATTAGGTGTGAGTTATACCCTTTTCTTTCTACTTAAAGACTCTTTGTAACTTTGTTGATGATGCAGGAAACATTCTCTTGACAACTTTCTAATTTTAAGTTTGGTTTTGTTTATTTTCCCATTTTTTTTTTTGAGTTTTTGCCTATTTTCCCATTTTGTTTGTTTGGTTTTGTTTAACTTAGCTTTCCTGCTTTGTTTGTTTAGGTCACAGCTATCTCTAAAACATTATTTGAATATTAACTTCCTTATGTATCGTTTTGACTATTGATTTCACAAGATTAGTGACTACAACCGAATTAACAAATAAATATATGTACAAATAATATCATTTTTGATTCAATATATAATAAATGAGTAGTCTATTCTCACTTATCAAGCTCATAATTAGACCTGGACAAAATGCCCGTATCAGAAGAAAAGAACCGAGGCATCAAATTGAAGCAGAACCGACACAAATACTCGAATTGATTTTAAATTCTTATATCCAAATAATCGAAACTAAACCGAAACTGAATTAAAAACCGAATCCAAAATACAAAACCATAATTAATTAATCAGTGTGCATAGAAGAGTTTAGCAAAATCCCGAGAGCCAAAATCGTATCGCTCCTTGCTCAAAACAAGTGGTGTACAACATTCTATTTTCTAAGAGTTTTAACATTTTTACTTTTGACTTTTTCATCGGCCCTCCCCATCCCTCGCCGAAAGATACACAACCCCTCTCTCATTTCTGTTACAAACAAGGAAAATCATTTCTTCTCTACAATCTAAAGTAATGAATCAAATTTTAACAAGAATATTGTTTTGAGATATATAGTTAATCTAGTTACTACTGAGACCAATCAGCTAAAAAATCCTTCCGAGTCTCCTTACATAAACATCTCAATCTCAACGCTTCATTTATCAAAAAGAAACCTCCTCCGGGATCCAAAACAATGTACTCTTCATATTCTCTATCCAAACGCCTAGTTTCTATCCCTATCTTGGCTATACAACTCCTTCTCATACGCAGCGTCTCGTCACTGAACCTTACCAATGACTATCTTAACCACAAATGCCTCGTCAGTCAAGGGAAATATAGGCCTGGAGATAAGTACGAGGACAACCTCAACTTTCTCACCCGTGAAGTCTTATCCGTCTCGTTGATAACTCACAGGATGCCATCCGTCTGTTCCTCTTGCGGTATGTATTTCAAGTCTCAATTCATTCAATTTGGCGAGAGAGAAATGGTAGACGACATGGGGAACCGGCGACTCACCAGTCTAGGCTAATCAAGTTCATAGACAAGCATGTCCGCAATAGACTCTCAACAGTTCGATCCATGGGAGACACACGGTTTGACAAAGCGATGGCGACATGGTTTGCCACGAGATAGTCAACTATTCTTTTAAACCTTTCTATCTTTCAAAAATAGTCATAGAAATCCTTTAAACAAGCTGCATTCATTGTACAGAAGTTTCTTTTTGAATAAATTTTACATTCTATTCAAAAAAAAAAAAGAAGTCTTATCCTATAATTTTCCGGATGGTTTCATACACATCTCTTATGGCGAAGCACCCAGTTTCGTCGCCGTCATATTACAGTGCCGCGGCGACTCCTACGACTCCAAGTGCCTCTCCTGCTATGCCACCGCCCTTTCCGGGGTAATGTCACTTCAGCATTATTAATTAGCCGTCGCATATCTAAAGAAACACCGGAAAATATATTCTATATATTGTGATTTTACGTGGTATGATTTGAAATAATAAAAAAATAAATCATCAAATCTGTCTTTAACATATATAAACATGTATATCTTTTGCATATCAAGATATATCTTTGCATTGAAAAATTAAACAATCATATGAAAGAAAACATGTACGTATATGTATATGACAGCTTCGTAGGAGATGTCAGAGGAACAAAGGAAGAGTAATATGGTACGATCAATGTTTTCTCTTCATTAATTCGATCAAATCATCCCCGAGGAAGAACGATTACAGGAATGCTTTCTCTATGCACAACCCAAACAACATGATCAAGGACACGGAATTGTTCAACAAGAAAACGAGGGATTTCCTCTACGAGCTCATGTTGGAAGCCACTACACCCAACAGGACAATGATGCTTTACGCAGCAGGGGAGAAGAAGCTAGGGACAAAGAAATTGTATGCAATGGTGCAGTGTGCGCAAGACATATTGCGATGTAAGGGTTGTTTGGAATGGAGTATCAATGAGCTTTCCAAGTGCTGCCACAGTAAACAAGGAGCAAGAGTTTTGGGAACAGAGTGTACTCTTAGGTATGAGCTATACCCTTTTCTTAGGGGTTGAAAGGTTGTTTGATCATGATGATGTAGAAGACAATCTCTTGACAGCTTTCCAATTTTGTTTGGTTTTGTTTTCTTAATTCTGTTTTATTTTTGGTTTTGTAAGTCAAATCTTTTTTTGGTCTGAAACAATTAATGTATACATCCCTTTTAAATTAGAGAAAACCCTTAAACAAGAAAAAGAACAAAAAAAAATTGATTTAATATATTTGAGAAGTTAATATATTTAAATAAAAATACATTTTAAAAAAAGAAGCAAACATACGAGTTTCACTCAGTCAAACCTTTGAATGTTGACTTTTTCATTCGCCGCAATACCAAGTCCCCCAACTCATGGCCCTCTACGTTGCATTTCTAATTTCATCTAGAAGCTTGAAATGAATATTGGATCAAAAGCGACAAAAAGTTATTGTTTTGACATAATTGCTTAATCTTAGCCAATCAGCTAGATTGACTTCTTTTTTGTTCAAAGGAACATTCATGATTTGAAAATGACCAAATCCCAATTGTACAAAAATGAAAACTTCTACCCATTCTAATAAATATTAAATAAATAAATAACTTATGCCACCACCCAAAGACTAAAATCATCTAGCCACTATATAAACATCCTTACCTCAACACTTGTTCTATAAAAGAAATACACCCCACAAAATATCAATTTTTTTCCAAAACAATGTCTTCATCAAAACGGATCGTTTGGTTCCCTATCTTGATCGTAGCCATACAAATTCTCTCTATACATACCGTTTTGTCCCAAAGCCAGAACAATGCGTTTCTCTTCCACAAGTGCTCAGACATTGAAGGAAGCTTCACTTCGAAAAGTCCCTACGAGTCAAATCTTAACAATCTCTTTCCTCAGCTCTCTTACAAAGTTCCATCCACCGGTTTTGCCACCTCTTCCGCTGGTATCACTCCAGACAACGTTAACGGTTTGGCCCTTTGCCGCGGTGATGCCTCTTCCTCTGACTGCAGCTCCTGTCTTGCCACCGCCATCCCTGAGGTACCCACACAATATTTACATATAATATACTCACATAAGATTTCTCTACATCTTAGAGCTATTTATATAGAAACAGAATAAGATATACTATTGTTTCATTAGTTTTATTTTACATTTCTAATACAATTTTCTAAGTAATACTCAACTTTTTTTTTGAAAATAAAATTTATTGACTAGAGATTGGCTAAATTTTGATTGGAAGACGCTATTCTATTGATCGATTGATAAAAAAATAGGGAAAAAAATTATAACAGAACGAAATAGTATTATACTATTGTATATCGAGTTGAAGGATTGTTCTTGATATTGGTGTTACGTGACAGATGTTGGTGTTTATTTTATATAAACATGTTTATTTACATAAACATTTGTATTTATGTAAATACCCTTCTACTTGTGCAAATTTCATCACGTCTCTTGGTTACGTTTATACCGATACACCGGTTGAGAGAAGAGAAGCATCTCTTGGTTCAAACATCGCTTCATTAATATATAAGAGACGTAACGATGTAGAGAGACGGGTACAGAGAGACAAGAGAGAAGAACAATACAAGAGAAACAAAGGAGAGAAAGATTGGGATTGATTCTCATCTTCTTCTTCTCCAAATCAATTTCAGAGAATCTCAAAGTAGAGTTTGCTAGGGTCTCTGTACGGTGTTAAAACAGAGATCGATAGTTGTATCCTAAAGATAGAAGCCTACACAAAGCTACGTACACCACAGTAGGGGCTAAATTCTGTCTTAGGAGATTGCCAATTGCAAGCCTCTATCAATCTATACGTTGTTCTAATCAAGAAAAGAAGAGATCGTAAAATGGATCAATCTGCTGGGAATGTGAAAAATCACATTGAGAAGCCTTTTGTTTTCAAAGGAGTGGATTTCAAAAGATGGCAGCAAAAGATGATGTTCTATCTCACAACTTTGAATCTGGCACAATACTTGACTTCCGACGCACCGGAATTACCTGTTGAAGGAGACATTTCGGATGAAGTCATCAAAGCATCGGAGACATGGTCACAGAATGAGTTTTTGTGCAAAAACTACATTCTTAATGCCTTGGATGATTCTCTCTATGATGTTTATCAGATTTTCCAAACTCCAAAACAGTTGTGGGAATCATTAGAGAAGAAATACAAGTCTGAAGTTGCAAGTGCCAAGAAATTCATTGTGGGAAAATTCTTGAATTTCAAGATGAGTGACACCATCTCTGTGGTGAAACAAGTGGAAGAAATTCAGATTTTTGCTCATGAATTGAAAGATGAAGGTATGGGGCTGAATGAGGCGTTTCTTGTTGCGTCCATCATCGAAAAGTTGCCTCCAACGTGGAAAGATTTCAAGATCTATCTAAAGCACCTACATGAAGACATGAGTTTCGAGCAACTAATTCTCAAGCTTCGTGTTGAAGAAGAGAATCGTAAGAATGAGAAATCTGAGTTTTCTTCTATGGAAGCAAAGGCCAATGTAATTGAGGGAAACAACTCCAAATCCAAGGGCTTTAAGAAGAACAAAAACGGTAAGAAACCGTTCAATCCACCAAAGGGCTCTAACTTCAAGAGGAAGCCACAAGGTGCTTGTTGGGTGTGTGGAAAGCCTGGACATAGAGCCAAGGACTGCCGCCATAAGAAAGAAGGGACATCGGTTCGAGACGCAAGCAACGCAAACCTTGTTGAAAATCAGTTTGTTGCGGTCGTTTCCGAGGCAAACATGATGACAAACTCCAATGATTGGTGGGTTGACACTGGTGCTACAAAGCATGTGTGCTCCGACGTGAGTATGTTCTCCACGTATGAACAAGGTTCTGGTGGAGAAAAGCTTTACATGGGAAACGCGAGCACCGCGACGATCGCAGGGAAAGGCAAAGTGGTTTTAAAACTCACATCTGGGAAGGAACTTGCACTCACAAACGTACTCCATGTCCCTGAGATTCGAAAGAATCTGATTTCGGGGTCACTTCTTAGCAACAAAGGCTTTAAGATTGTATTTGAATCTGATAAGGTTGTACTCACTAAAGGTGGGATGTATGTAGGAAAAGGCTACTTGTGTGATGGTCTTTTCAAACTGAATGTTGTACCGATCGTTAATGAAAACGCAGGCAATAGCACTGCTTCTGTTTATTTGCTTGACTCAAATGATTTATGGCATGCAAGAATGGGACATGTCAATTATCATTCTTTATATCGAATGATGAATTTAGGATTGTTACCAAAGAACAATCTTAATAATAATAAAAGAAGTAAATGTGAAGTTTGTGTGGAATCAAAATATTCACGACATTCTTATAAATCTGTGGAAAAGTCAAATGTATTACTTGGTTTAATACATAGTGACTTGTGTGATTTTCAATCAATTCCAAGCCGTGGAGGAAAAAATTATTATATATCTTTTATTGATGATTTCAGCAAGTATTGTCAAATCTATTTGATTAATACTAAAGATGAGGCTTTGAATATGTTTAAGAAATTCAAAGCAGAAGTTGAAAATCAATTAGATAAGAGAATAAAAATTCTCCGATCAGATCGTGGTGGAGAATACAAATCAAATGAATTCTCAGATTTTTGTTCCACACATGGAATCATTCATCAAACTACGGCACCTTACACTCCGATGCAGAACGGAGTTGCCGAAAGGAAAAATAGAACGCTTAAAGAGATGATGAATTCCATGTTAAACGATTCGGGTGCACCACCTAATCTATGGGGTGAAGCCATTCTCACGGCTAATTCAATTTTGAATAAGATTCCTCACAAGAAGAGTGATAAAACTCCATATGAGATGTGGAAAGAGAAGACTCCTTCATATAAAAATATGAAAGTGTGGGGTTGTCTTGCAAAGGTTCAAATACCTTTACCAAAAAGAACTATTATAGGACCAAAAACGGTGGATTGCGTTTACATCGGTCCTGCGGAAAATAGTGCAGCTTATAGATTTTTAGTACATAAATCTAATAATGTTGAGGTAAAGGTAAATACGATCATTGAATCTAATGAGGCTGAGTTTTTTGAAAGTGTGTTTCCATACAAAGAGCCTAGAGAAACAAGTACTAAATGGGTACGTGAGGACAATGAATGTGCCTCAAAGGTTCAAGAAGAAGAAAATGAACCAAGAAGAAGTAAAAGAGCAAGAGTTGCTAAAGATTTTGGCACGGACTTTATGACGTACTTGAGTGAATACGAACCTCAAACGTACAAGGCTGCAATTGAATCATCGGATGCACCTTATTGGAAAGAGGCGATTCAAAGTGAAGTTGAATCCATTTTGTGAAATCATACATGGGAATTGGTTGATTTACCACCTGGTAATAAACTAATTGGACATAAATGGATCTTCACAAAGAAGTTGAGACCGGATGGTACGATTGAAAAATATAAAGCAAGACTAGTGGCGAAAGGGTTTCGTCAAAAAGAAGGTCTTGATTTCTTTGATACGTATTCTCCGGTGACTAGAATCACTTCGATTAGATATCTAATCGCAATTTCGGCCATATATGATCTAGAAATTCATCAAATGGATGTTAAAACAGCATTCCTAAATGGTGAACTTGATGAAGAAATATATATGGAACAACCCGAAGGATTTATAGTCAAAGGGAAAGAGAATAAAGTTTGTAAGCTTAAAAAGTCTTTGTATGGACTTAAGCAAGCGCCAAAACAGTGGCATGAGAAGTTTGATAATACAATGAGATCGTATGGTTTTAAAATAAATGAATGTGACAAGTGTGTCTACGTTAAGGAAACTAAAAAGGATACGATCATTGTATGTCCTTATGTGGATGATATGTTAATAATAGGAACAAGTAAAGACATTATCAATGCCACAAAGAAGATGTTGAGTGACAATTTTGAAATGAAAGACATGGGATTGGCTGATGTAATTCTTGGAATTAGAATTAAAAGAGAGCCAAATGGGTATTCACTTACTCAATCTCATTATGTGGAGAAAGTTCTAAAGAAGTTTGGTCACTTTGATGATAGACCGGTAGTTACTCCGTTTGATCCAACGTGCAAGCTTTCCAAGAATGAAGGTGAAAGTGTGTCTCAGTTGGAATACACACAAATTCTTGGAAGCATCATGTACATTACAAATTGTACAAGACCAGATTTGGCTTACTCAATAAGTCGATTAAGTCGATATTCAAGTAATCCAAATAGAGAACATTGGAATGCTTTGGTTAGAGTATTGAGATACTTAAAGCATACAATTAATTATGGTCTATATTACACTAAATTTCCTCAGGTAATAGAAGGATATAGTGATGCAAATTGGATTTCTGGAAGTACGGATAGTAAATCCACAAGTGGTTATGTGTTTACACTTGGTGGTGGAGCTGTGTCTTGGAGATCATCTAAACAAACGTGTATTGCACGTTCTACAATGGAATCAGAATTTATCGCACTAGATAGTGCTGCAGAAGAAGCCGAATGGCTAAGGAATTTTATTGAATATATTCCATTATGGCCAAAGCCGGTAACTGCACTATGTATCCATTGTGATAATATGGCTGCCTTAAATATAGCGAAAAATAAAATTTTCAATGGCAAGTCAAGGCACATTCGAAGGAGACATGCTACAATACGACAATTGCTTTCCAATGGAGTGATAGCATTGGATTATATTAGAACAAAGGATAACTTGGCTGATCCTTTGACTAAAGGCCTACCGAAAAAGCAAGTCGTATTCACTTCGAGGGGAATGGGTTTAAAGCCAACACAATGAGTCATCACTTGGTGGAAACCTTACCTAGCAACATTGGAGATCCCATGGTTTAGGTTCAAGAGGCAAACTGGCTGAGGAAGACTCAAGAAAGATATACATATTACTTATTCCTATGAAGTTAAATGTATTTCCATTGATGTTTAAAGGGATGAATATTTTTCTTAATAACATTAATACTTTTTTTTTAGTGGAATAGAATGGACTATTCTTAATTAATGTTACCTATATGAGAGTGGTGTCGCGGTCGCACCTATGAGAATTGAGATGGCTAAATTCTCTAGAGCTCTCACGAAGCCGGGATATGTTCAGGACCAAAATGAACACAACCGTATAAACATGAAATGAGCTGATAATTTATGTGTTTCACTTATTGTCTCGGTTTACTATCAAAAGTGGTTAGTTCAAGACAAGAGTTCACTACCTACAAAGTAAATCCGATAAGTGTTTACTAGGAAAGGTTCAAGTCTAAAAGACACCTTAACCGATGCATAATGATTCTATTTTCTCAGATATTGTGGAGCTTATTTTCTATTCAAATGTGGGGTATTTATATGTTTGAATAAGAAAATGTGGGGTATTGTTGGTGTTTATTTTATATAAACATGTTTATTTACATAAACATTTGTATTTATGTAAATACCCTTCTACTTGTGCAAATTTCATCACGTCTCTTGGTTACGTTTATACCGATACACCGGTTGAGAGAAGAGAAGCATCTCTTGGTTCAAACATCGCTTCATTAATATATAAGAGACGTAACGATGTAGAGAGACGGGTACAGAGAGACAAGAGAGAAGAACAATACAAGAGAAACAAAGGAGAGAAAGATTGGGATTGATTCTCATCTTCTTCTTCTCCAAATCAATTTCAGAGAATCTCAAAGTAGAGTTTGCTAGGGTCTCTGTACGGTGTTAAAACAGAGATCGATAGTTGTATCCTAAAGATAGAAGCCTACACAAAGCTACGTACACCACAGTAGGGGCTAAATTCTGTCTTAGGAGATTGCCAATTGCAAGCCTCTATCAATCTATACGTTGTTCTTATCAAGAAAAGAAGAGATCGTAAAGTACGTTTCAGTTCTGTAACAATTGTTTTTCTATTTGTTACTTATTCTATAAAGTGAACGTATTTGTTTATGGGTATTGATTTGCATCTATAATCTTCGATCAACAACAGATACGTCAGAGATGTCCGAGCAACAAGGCAGGAATAATATGGTATGACAACTGTCTTGTCAAGTATTCCTCCACCAATTTCTTCGGGAAGATCGATTTCGAGAACAGGTTCTATTTGTACAACGTCAACAATGTGAGCGATCCATCGACGTTCAACACGCAGACGAAAGCTCTTCTAACCAAGCTGACAAAGAAAGCGACTACTGGAGATAACCAGAAGCTGTTTGCGACAGGAGAGAAGAATATCGGGATGAAGAAATTGTACGGACTAGTGCAGTGTACGAGGGACTTGAAGAGTGAGGCTTGTAAGGCATGTTTAAATGGAATTATTGGGGAGCTTCCTAACTGTTGCGACGGTAAAGAAGGAGGGAGAGTTGTGGGTGGGAGCTGTAACTTTAGGTATGAGATTTACCCTTTTGTTAACGCTGCTTGATTAGAGTCATTGTAATATGTATAGAAATGTATTGTATGGACTGTTTGTATAAGGTGTTGAGCCAATAAAATGTAATCTTCTCTTTATAGGTTGTTTGGTACGATAGACATTTAAGAGGCTTGTTTGCCTCCTATAAATAAAACATTCCGTTTGCCAATATATTGAAAGCTTCTTCTAACGGTACGGTTCTAGACTTGAGGATACACATGTGGAGTTACATATTACTGCCATTTTATGTAACGGTTTCAACCTGCAGAAGTCACTATTGTTTAGAATTATATTGATAGCATGCAAACACAATAAAGTCTAAGCATGATGACAGATTCAACTGTTTCAAATGGAAATCTATTACTTGATGTCAAAACACACAACTTTTTAATTTGTGTGTTTATGTTGACAAATTTTGTGCCACGCATTTAAAAATAATAGTATATGCAAAAACCAAAACAAAATATCTTTTTTTTCTGTTTGGTTTTCGTATTTGTATTTAACAATTTTCAAAATAGATTTGACAGAAACCTGGAATATTGTACGTAAAAGAGAAAACACATCAGTATATATATATATGACCAAAAAAACCTTAGCTTTTTCTATATGTTCATTTTCATATATTATTGTTCTAATTAAAATTTAGTTGTAATTTTTTTAAGATTGAAAATGTAAATTTCATCATATAAGAAAAAGTTATACATTATGAGGTGCTGGTTGGTTTGTTGACTAAAGATTTGAAACGTCAACGGATAACTAGGAGAAGATATTGGTCACATTTGCTTAAGCTGAGTCATTGCGATTAAAACAGGTCAACGAAGGAGGATAACCACGTTGCTCCTTTGCTTTCTCCCAATCCTACCTTTGTTTGTGCGTAAGCGGCGACCACCACTACGACCCCATCATACGCATAATATCATGAAAAAATCTCATAATTTTCGGATAAATTAATATACTCAGAGAAAAAATAAGCATACAAGATACAAATATAGAAACTCTATATAATAACAAATTGAAACTAAACTATAATTTTATCGAGATCATTAAAGGACCTATATGTTTTTAATATTTCACATAAGATATAAATGGCGTTTAAAGGACTTCTCATTAAGATTTGCTCAAATAAAACTAAACAAAAATGTTTGTCCACCATTATTAGTCAAATCAAACGCACTTCCGTTTTCTTAAATTTTGACTTGATAACTATACAATCATGTTCAAATGAATAAGGTTGTTGTCACTCCACGAGTCGGAAACATAGGGATCGGTCAACATAGCTAGTGATGACCAGATGTGAATCTTTTAAAATAAGACAAAAATCAAATTATTAGTATTCATTGAATTAAATCTCAATGATTTGTTCTCCAGAACTAGATATTTTTTAGTGGTTTCGACTTTAGAGAGGCAGGCGTTTTTTTGGTAATCAAGGTCTGACCCCATAATTTCAAGTTAGAGATCATAGCAAGTTATATTAGTCTTTTCTTCCTTGTAAATACATCCGAAGTCATAACCTTACAAATTATTTGTTTACGTGGAAAGCTTATCATAGTCAGTCCAATTGTTCAAAAGGTTTTAAGCAAATTTATCAAAATGAACCGCCAATAAATTTAAAATATTTTAATGTATTTTTCTAATCATATATTCATTAATTATGTAGATATTTTTTAATAAATAAAGAATTCTATCAATTATTCGTTTGAAGTTTAGAAATTGCTATTGTTTAAACTCTAAACTAGTATTTCCAATTTTTATTTTTTTTAGGAACACTAAGTTTTCAAATTAAAATAGTTATTTGAGATAATGATCAGCATATTTAAAAAGTAGAATATATAAGAAAGGAAAAAGTTTATACAATGTTAGGATTATACGGACAATGAAACTACTTAGTTTGAGCTTCAGTTCTATTTTAAGGTTTAAAATATTATAATAGAGGGCATTGATGAGAATCAGAACAATAACGCTTTAAAGTTTTTTAAACAGCGATACAAGTACATTCTCCATTATTAAGGCAAGCATAATAATAATCTTTAGGGCATGGATGAGAAACAGGACAATCACGATCAGTCTTGCATCTTTTCGCCTTGGTCGGTTCAGTCTCAACTTTTAGTTTCGAACAATTGCACACTCTAAGAATACATTCCGCACCTTCATCTGAACATAGCAACCTACACTCTTCATCTGTCCTACATGATTCGACTTGAACTCCAAAGATACCCACCAACAACATACCTAATAATTGCAAACACATATCATATTTTATTCGGTCTTTTAGATCGATGAATCAAAATATGAGATATATACAGTATATAGAGAGAAACTAACATGAGAGATAGAAGCCGAAAATGATGAGGATTGTTGTTTTCAGTGCCGCCATGTTTTTGATATGAGGATGCTCAGTTTATGGTTTAGAGTTTATAAACACGTTTTTGATATTATTACATGGTGATTTCGATGCTTAAATATTGTGTCTTGGAGCATAAAAATGGCAATTTATTTAACGCATAGGACGACTTTGACAAATAAGATTTTTTTTGCTATAATTGGTGATGTTACTAAGGAAACAAATTAGGAGGAATTTACATTCCTAAATTGTTTTACTATTTAAAGTAATTTTGATATAATTCCTTCTTATTCCTAATTTTGAACCATAAATAGAACTAATATTGATGTATAGTATGTATAAGGTCCACACGATTCATCTTTTTCATTTGGAATCATATAACAAACATATTCTCACCAAACTAGATAAGGTTCAAAAAAAGAACAAATTTTTACTTTTATTGCATAGACAGGCTCCAACTCGTAACCAATTTTGAGGAAAAAAATGAGTAGGAATGTCATGTTCTCAATGTTCCTCATTTTTTTTTTTTATCATTTGTAAGATATTCTTGTTCTATTTTCAGACACGTGAGTCCTATATTTTTCATTTTCATTATTCAAAAAAAAAAATGATAGGTCAAAATTGTTCCTCCCCAAAATGGTTCTTCCACAAACATATAAAATTCGTTTTTAATTATTAAATAATTTTAAAATAGCTTTTATGATAATATTTACATTTCTATATATAAATATTTTCTTTATTTTTATTAAAAAATATTTATATAAAAAAAAATTATCAAACTTTAATTTAAATAAATGTTATGACTTTATTTTAAATAAATGCTTTCAAAGTGAAATTTATATTATTTTAAAATAACTATTTAAATTTATACAACATTTTATTTTAAATTTATATAACAATTTAACTTTATGAAATTTATAAAATAAATCAAATAAATGATTTTTTTAATATTTATTATGTTGAATATTTATTCAACTTTTTGGTTACCATTTACCATAATTATTTGTTCAATTCTTTTGTTCCTTTTGGTTCTTGGTTTTACTATTCTTCTTTTTTTTAATTCTTTTTTATCCATTTTTTTCTATTTATATTGTTTTTTTAATTGTCACCGGTCGGCACAATAAGAAATTATATGGGAAAGAATTTTAAAAAAAAGAAAGACAAAAAATGAAAAGTAATGGACTCTAAGAAAAGCTCAATCCCCTTCTAAAGCCCATCAATATACTTATATAGTTATATAGTTAGGAATTACACGTGAAGAACAACAATGTAATAAAGGTTAGCCCAAATGAACTCAAAAGTGAAAAACGAAGTTGGGAGGGCAATTAGAAAGACGATCGCAACTTTACACAAGTAAACTGCCGCCGTTAGACATTTTCTCCGGCCGGCGCTGGACTTTTCGGCGTCGGTCGGGTTCCTTTCTATTTATTTAGTTTTGTTCTACTTTTTGTCTCTGTTTCTTTCGATGGACGACACATTCTTCCACCGGTATCTCTTCCGATCTATAGTTTTCCTTCGGATGGTGACTTTATCCGTGTTCGTTCTTACACTGGCGACAAACATTCACCACTTTCATGTCAAGTGGATATCAGATCCGAAGGCAGAAGCGAACCCGCCTCATGGGACGGTAATATCTCTGGTCGATGAAAAAGGAACCGTTTTGCGGGAGTCTCAAGTCTATATACCATGTCTCATCCGGTCCTCCGTGGTGAAGGTCTTTTCCGGCGAAGTCGCCGAGGCATATCCGGTATGTATTACCGAGTTTTTATCGAAACTAACATATTTTGTTAGTTTTATGGTAGTCTCCGAAGGCCACTGTTTCGTGGCTTTTCGATGGTTGATACAAATCTCTTTGGATTTGTTAATGAGACAACGACCACCACGGAAACCGTCATGGAATCAACCCACAACGGAGGATGGAGATGCGATTATGATGCGAATCAGAAGATCAGATCAACAACAAGTATGGGTTTACGCTACAATCACAAAACTTCATATCTCTTTCTTCAGGAGAGTTCCCAAATCTAGGGTCTTGCGATGTAACGGATGGATCGCAGACTTTGACTTTCGAAAGCGTAAAAGATGGTGCATCGATAAAAAGAAGATGTTTTCCAAGCTAGAGAGTCACACAAGATTGACGGATACGACGAAAACAACTAAGCATATCATTCGGATTGCGGCGCTTGAACTTTTTTGCTTTTTCGTTACAAATCTATTTGATTGTGTTCATACCCTTGTGTTTTAACAATGTAATCTTTGGTTCACACTAATAAAGTTATGATTTGATGTTAAAAATTAAAAAAAAAAAGGTTAGCCCAAATGTTCGTAGAAACTTTATCAAAAAACAAATGTTGGTAAAAAGTATTCAGTGTCACATATAATAGTTAATTTATAGGATACAGATTCCAACGATAAAAATGGGTCGTCACAAAGACAACAAATTTTAATTCGTTAAAATCTTGTTGTGAATTATTTACTTTTCTGCTTTCTGTTTTCACTTCTATGATGGAGTTTCACTGTAATAACACCTAGTAATAACATCTTGGGTGCGTTTTTAAGGTAATATAATATAATATTATAGTTTTAGTCTGAACCCATTTAGTAAGCCCATAATATAATATTTTCTTTGACATGGAACTAGCCCATATTAAAACATTTAAACCTGGATGTTAGTAATTTAGTATATTAGATTATGTACCTGCGCATTGCGCCGGATTTTAATTTAAAACTTTTATCAATACAAATTTTTGAGTATAAATATAACCATTTGAATTTTAAAAGATTTTAGTTTATTCATGTTTATTATCTTCTATGATTTACTCGTCGTCTCTTAAAATGTACTATATATTCACCTTATATTGGCTCACATATAATATATTCGACTATGAATTAGTCTTTAAGATAGATCGTATCTATTTCATCTTTTTTTTTATAAGTTGTATGATCTTTTTATTAAAGTGAACAACTTATAAGATTTTTATTCATAAGGTTTTATTCGGGGAGATTCTATTCATAAGGTTTTTTTACCATATTTTGGATTATCTAAAATTGCTTTATAGACAAAAAATCTCATATATATAGACTCATTCCTATTTATAAACATTGGATTCAAACGTCTAATTTTACACTTTATCTTGACGATTTGAAAAATACAAAAATCTTTTTTCATATATAAAATTTACCGTATATTATGATTCTGTATAGTATTCTTAGTGTTTATTTTTCTCAATGTGTAACATATGAACTCATAAAAATTATTTTAATATAAAACTATGTTTTTTTAAAAAAAAAATATCCATGTTGTTTCTAATTAAAAATCTTTCATTTCCAGTTTCCAATTAAAACATATTCTAATTTCCAAATAGCATTCTCAAATATTATTATTACACAGTTTTACTTTTCAATTAGATTATTTTATTTTTATTGGTGATGTTTAGGATAGTTTTTTTCTTTGTATTTCAAATCACATTATTTTTTTCAATATATATTAATTTTCTAAACACTGATTAATATTAATTTTTTTCTTTAGGTATTCATTTGTTTTTTTTCAAAACACTTTAATTTAGAAAACATCAATAAAATAGAAATTTTTATTAATATACATATTTATATTATATTAGAGTTATAAATAATAATATGTACTTATTCCTTCTTAATATTTAATCGGTATCATGAGTTGATACTTAACATTAACAAATATATTCTCAAATTTTAAATTTGTATTTTTTCAGAAATGATGTACTTTTTATTTTAAGTAAAAACCTTTAAATTTGTTTTTTCAGCTCTTCTTTTCTTTATTCTACTAAATAATTGTAACTCTTAAAAATGATTGTTGTACCATTAAAATATATGATAAGTTTCTTTTTTCCTATCTCTAACCAATTAAAAATATTTACTCATTATATGTTAAGATATAATTATCTAATTTTATATTTATTTCTCTATATAAAATTTTCATATTTTGTATTGTATATTTTTCCACTTTGTTATAATATTAAATTGTTTTTTTTTGTAAATTACTGTTTTTATTTAGTAAAAATTAAAAATAGAAAGTGTGTGAATTAATTTTAGTTTTAATGTTTTTTTTTCAAAATAAGATATGTAGAGCCCAAAATGTAAAATATGATTACATGGATGCCAATGTTTCTTATTTTTCTTTATTCTAGTAAATAATTGTAACTCTTAAAAATGATTATATGTTAAGTTTTTTTTTTTCATATCTCTAGTCATTTACGAATATTTAGTCATTAAATGTAATATATAATTATCTAATTTTATATTTATCCAATCTATATTCAAAAATTTCATATTTTGTGTTATAAATTTATTTTTTCTTTTTAATATTTAATTTATTCTTTTGTAAATTATTATTTTTGTTTAATGAAAAATAATAATAGAAATTATAAAATATGTGAATTAATTATAGTTTTAATGTTTTTTGTTTTAATAAATAAAATATGTGGAGCCCATACAAAATTAAAATAAGATGACTTGGATGATGATGTGGACACCCCAGATGGAGAGACAACTCTCTCATTATATATATAGATTTAATACACACACAAAAAAGCGGATAAATCATACTCCCTCCGGTTCGTTTTAGTTGTCGTTTAAGGTTTTCTCACACATATTAAGAAAAACATTAAATTTTCTATTTTACCCTTTATTAATATATTTTATAAAAAAATTCATTGGCCGAAACATTAAAACAGTAGGGATAAAACTGGAATTTTCACAAAACATTTGCATCGAAAACCTAAAACGACAACTATTATGAAACAAAATTTTAACTCTAAAACGACAAGTAAAACGAAACGGAGGGAGTAAATGTTTGCTTCGTTTACCAACAAATGTTTGCTTCATTTACCCAAAAAATGTTGGTTCAGACTTCAGAAAATAAGGGCTTTCAGAGACACTCTTGCATAATAAATAGTTAATGCACCAAGTCACTAACATCAAGCAGATGTCTCTGCATAATAAAATTGCCAAATTTTCAGATTTCGTAGATGCATATAGCATATGCTAATTTAAAAATAGTAGAGTGTATATTTAACTATTTAACATTATAACATATCAAATTCATAAATGACAAAATTATGAAATAACACCCAACTAGTTAGGAGTTAGTAGTTTATGGAAATAACAAAAAGGAGGATTAAGAATGACATTGTACGGAACAACGACTAAAAAATTACTACAATTTTGTAAAGACTGAAGTGGTCAAAATTATTCAGACAAATTTCATGGGATTCTTAACCCATTGACCCACCTCATGTCTCTTGCTCCCTCCTCACTAGTGTTTTTTTCACAGTTACACACTTTTAAATCATTTCAATGTATCAACAATAATGTAACAATTATACTATATAGTTTGCCAGCAAAAAAGGAGATTTGACTGGTAAGCATTAAGACAATGATACTATTTTAATTAACTTCAAAGTTAAAACAAGCAAAAACTTAAACTCAAAACAATATTCATTTTTTGGTCATAAATCTTATGATAATGATAGAAGTAGACAACTCAGTCCCCATAACATCACTGCAATTAGTAAACAAAACAAAAGAAAGTTTTAACATTCGATCGGATCAGTGAAGTATAACATAAGATTAATGAAAATCCGAATAAATTTCAACTTGATTTAAATATTAAAGGTTAGAGAAAATGATCTAATTTAGAAATAACAAAAAACAAACGAATCAAGTTCAAGAACTGGGAAATGAGAAGTAAAAAAATGTCGGAATTTACAAAGTTTTGGTCTTTAGTCGTTGACTAGCTTGGCATGCACAGGAGCAGGACTAGTGACGACGGAGCTCGGCGGAGTTAACGGTGGAGATGCCGATACTGGTGCTGGAGGTGGTGGTGGGATTGGTATATCCGTTGAAGGCGGAGGAGGTGCGGTGGTTGTTTCAGAATCCGGCGGAGGAGGTGAGAATTGCGGCGGAGGATTCGGATTCGGATTAGGCGTAGACGGAGGAGGTGGATTCGGATTAATGATCGGCGACGGCGGATTTGGGGAAATAGGAGTAGATGGGTTTGGTGATGATGATGAATCAGGTGGAGCTGGAGGAGAAGATCCGAGAACAGGCGAGTTCGGGTTTGGGTTTGGATTCGGGTTTGGGTTTGGGAATGGAGTTATAAAAGGGGAAGTAGAAGAAGATGGATCGGTGGAAGATGAGCAATTGTCGCCGGAGCAGTGGTGAGAGTGACGGCGGACAACACCGAAAACTACGACGAGGCCAATGACGACGGCGACGGTGACGATGAAAATGAAAATCTTGGTGGCTTTGCCGACATAGCAGAGCATTGTTGTGGATATTCAGAAGATCGGAACAAAAATTCTGTGACTTTTGTTTTTGGATGTTTTTGTTTATTTTGTTTATTTTATTTTTTTGTGAATGAATTTTTTAGATTACAAATGAGATGTGATTTGGATCTCTCTATCTTTCATCTTCTTTAGGGGTGTTATTAGTTTATGATTTAAATAAAATTTTAGTCCTTGAAATATTACATGAAATCCATTGTTATTCAATCAAGATTTTAAAAAATTGTTAAAGGGGTGTTATTCATTCATGGAGTTAAAGTCAATTCTTAAAAGTTTAGGTTTGATTTCTGATATTGGTTTTAACAATCTGTTTGTGTGGAGTTCAAAATCTCTGCAGTATATCTTGGATTATGATTCCAATAATTTACTCATGAAATCCAAAGATGTTTCATTTCAAATGATTTGATATACAAAGATTTTACAAGTCTTTTAGTTTTGAATAACACTGGATTTTAATGAAGAATTTTAAATCTTAGTTGAATAACGCCAAACTTTAAAATCTATTAGAGTTAGATTTAGAATCATTAGGTTAATAACACTGGATTAGTGTTGGATTTCAATTCTATTAAAATCCATCATTGAATAACACCACCTAAAGTTTGGTGTTATTAGATTCATATTTTAATAAATCTGAAGTTATTGGATTCATATTTTTATAGAGTCAATAAAAAATTGTGTTACTCAATTAAAACAAAATAATCTATAATTTTCAATAAATTAAACTATTATATTATTAGTTTATAATTTTTTACACTTTTCTTCACACAATAAAATCATGAAAAATATCATCAAAATAGAGAGATTGTTATTTTACAATATTATGAAAAACTAATCAACAAAATTACAAAAAACTCTTTAGTAATATTAATTTAAAATATTTTATTTGTTTACTTTCTATGATTTTATTAAAGTCATCAAAAAAATTTGTCAAATAAAATTATAATCATCAAAATTTCTTGTAAAATAAAAACACCCTTTATTTTCACAGTTTATGCTTTAAAAGAAGTAATTGTTTTTAACTTCGAGTTAAAGCGTGCGATAATGAGAGACATGCGGATGGTGGGAATGAAAAGCTAGGATGGCCACGTGAAAGCCAACATTGGCACGTAATTATTACTCTAAAATTTGTTGTGGTTTAGTTTTTTTTTTTTTTGGTCATTACCAATATTGAATTGGTGATTAGTTTCCTCGGAAATTCTTTGATATATGCATAGCTAACATAAAACACACACACACACATTCAAATAATGCATTCTCACTATGGTAAGGAACAGTACTGAGTTCATAGATAATCTTATGAGGGAAAACAAAACTGAAGTCATTTCAGTTCATGGATCAGACTTTTCATTTAAGTTTTTTTTTTCATGTAATTCTATATTGATTTGAGTTATTTTGAGTCTGATAGTCCATAAAACGAATATTGTTATTTTTAGTTTGTTGGAGTTCATAGAAAATTTTAGCTATTTTAAAATCCTTTTTTTTTACTTAAAAACAATTTAATATAGTAGGGTCTGCATTATTTTTCTTTTCATTGTTACTTCTTTGCGAAAAAATAAATTTTATTATTGCCATACGAAGAAAAGAGTAGTTGGAGTCTTTTGTTTTAGTAAAATGGGCATAAAAGGATAGGGGCCACAGACCAAAATGTTTAAACTAGTTGTCCTCAAGGCCAGGCCAGCCGTGCATAAAAAATTAGTGGAACCGTGAGTATCATTGAACCTAAATCGATTGAGTAAAAAAAAAAGAATCCACTAATTTTTTTGTTGCTGCTAATGTCAAACGAAAACATATGTCATCTTGTCTTTGACCATGTCCTTGAAAATTGAAACAGGGACACTCTTGCTCTGTTGAATGCTGCATCATTTAGAACATTTTGTTAATCTTTGAACCCAATGGGAGTGCATAGATAATGAAATTGTAATCGATCGTAGAAACAATTTCAAATTCGATCTCAAATTCAAAAGTATATTGCTTGTTCAAAAAAGCCTCCCGGAGCTTAGCCATTGACACAAATTTTTAATTCATTGTGCTAGCAAATAACTTCAGGAAAATAAGAATATGAATATCAGTCTCTAAGAATAGTCTCTAGAGATGTTAGAAGATAATTAAGAAGCATACGAAACAGATCATTGTATCCCTTATCTTTTGGTTATTTTGCTAGTAACTTTCATCATATTTACCGGCACTGAACTTTGATGACTAAGCTAGGTTCACCACTAGTTTATTTCATATGTATTCAATTGCTCTTTTTTAGTTTCTTTTTTTTTCATATATATAGGTACCAGAACTAAAATTTAAAATAAAACCTAAAATATCAATAAAAAGATTCAGATACGAATAATTCAAAAACAAATAACTCAATAAGCCATTATGAAAACACTGCATTGTATTGTATCACAATAGATAAATAGTAGATATAGAATTGTTTTTTCTAAAGCAGAATTTAGACACTGGGAGAGTATTTGGTGCTTGAAACAACTGCAAATTCAATCTCTATATTCAAAGAACCCTCATTGTCCAAGTACTGCGCCCGGAGTTTATCTAAAGACGCAAATTTATCCCAGCCATAGCCTGTGTTTTGCTTTGTGTACCAGTAGGTCACTGCAACGACAGTGGAAAATATATATAAGCATGCATATTAATTATTAGTCAAATATAATTATAACTTAAAATTTTAAATAGTCAACGAGGGACGAAAAAGAGCACCAAATGAACATTATTTAAAAGTTTCATTAACCAATGAAGTAAAACAAACAAAAAAACAACTATAAGATGATATGATATGGTATTATTGTTTTGTAACTTACATGTCCAAGCGACGTGATGAGTGGATCCAAGAGGATCTAAAAGTCTAACATGTACTCGCGTGTAGATTTTCTCCTCTGCGTTGAGTGTTTCACTCTTACTTAAGAACAAATAAATGGATAACGACTTGTCTCGTGCTCTAATATCACCCTTAGGATACACCTTTAGAAACCTATAGAACAATTTTGCACTTGTTAACAATCGCATAGACGCATATATGGAAAAAGCAAACAAGTTTTTCTTAGACTCCTCACCATTGCCTTCCTCCTACTAAAAACTTTACTGAGTCGTAAAATTCCTCTTTTAACTCTTTAAATTTCTTGAGAGTCCACGAGAACTTGGGATTAGAGATTTTCTGATTAAAGGACACGACTTCCCATTTAGTAAGGGATGGAGCAACCAAGACATCAACACCAAATTCACATTGATCTCCCTCGAAGATATATCCGTTTTTAGGGTCATTGAAAGTTTCGAGCGAAAGGACTTGAGACAATCCCCAGACTGTTCTCAATGCATTGAACCGCTTCACTTCTGTATCTATAATAGTGTACATAAATTGTTGATGAGTAAAAGAAAAGGAGAAGTGGAGTATAAGATATACACAAATGTGATCAATGTGAAATATGGAGTATAAGATATACAAACCTCTAATAGTAAAGTATTTGTCTGTTTTCTTGTTGTAAACAAAGAATATGAGACATGCAACCACATCAGTTAGTGGCGTTGACAAGAGGTTTGTGCTATCAATCTCCACATACATTGAAATATATCCACTCCCTTCGTCTTTTGCGTTTCCTTTTGGATAAATGACCAATCTCCTAAAATTCAATCATTGTTTAATCATTTGAACATTAATTTTGCTATGGGCATATTGCTTGGCGGCCCATGAGCACGAAAAATAAAACCTACATAATCATTAGGAACAAACACATGTTTGTATATTGGCTCACATATGAATAGTTAACCCCAATCAATATGATGTTGCATTAGCTCTTTCTTGTTTTTTTTGTTTTTTTGGGCAGGAAATAACTACTAGGTTAAGCTTTTTTGTATATTCTACAAACTCTTCTCATTATTCATTAATGAAATTCAAATACTTAAAAAAAAACACGTGTTTTCTACTCAAATTCCGAAAACTCTTTTATCTCATTTTTATAGTTGGATTCATCTTTCTTACGCTTAATATATCTGGAAACACGATCGATCTTACTTTTGCTTCTTGTCATAATCGTGTGTGGATTTTGAACACATATTTTTTTCATCGATTAGTATTATATGCCTGTTTTAAAATTTTGAATCACATCATATGTAGAAAAAAAAAATCAAATATTTTATTAATTATATGTATTTTATATAAATTTAAAAACAAATTAATATAAAATCAGATAAAAGTGAAAGAAGAATCATATGTTTATGTTTAAATTAGGTAGAAAGATTTTAAAAAATTAGCAAGGAAAGATAACATTAGTTAGGACAATATCTTCAATTAGATTTTCAAGATTTTGGGAGTGTTTAGAATTTAAGACTTAGGATTATAATATAAATAAGTTACAATTTAAGGATTTAGGAGTGTAAATAAGTCAAAACTGAAGGACTTTTTGACTAAAAACCCTCCAAAAGGTATATGTAGATGGTTGACTTACCAAAGCTACACTAAATACAATTACAAAAAAAAATACAAACAACCTTAAATAAAATTTTCTCCAATTAAATTAATGTTGAATAATTTATATTTTTTTAACTTCAATGTTTATTGTTTATTGGTTAATAATATTCATGCTATATATATTAAATTTTTTTGATACATGTCAAAATCTAATTAACCAATAATACACGTCAATTAGCATATAATTTGTCTTACCAAACAAATTAGCATATAATTTGTTTGTTTTTTTTGTTTTTTATTAGTGGGTCTGCTTGTTTTCAAACTAAGCCTAAGGGCAACGATTCTTCTATTATGCCTTCCAATATCAGCCTATGATGGTGGTGCTCGTTGTTGTACTTCTTGAACATGGAGATTTTGTACTTCTTAAACATAGAGTTTTGATTCCCCATGGTGATGATCCTTTAAAACATAAATCTCCTTAGATAATGCAAATTGTATATTCAGAAGAACTATTTATGTAAATATTGAGTTGGACTAACCACATCTTGTGTATTCATAATCACATGATCGTGGTTCATCGTAAAACAATCGAATCTACAAAAATTGTACAGAAAACGATCTCCTCGAAACAAAAACAATCTCAATTTTTATCAGTTGGTCACTAAAGTCATTGCAATCGAGTATATAGGAATCGAACCCACATCGTTAACTTGGAATGCTAAGAGATTTAGTCAATGTCGATCGCTCATCTTCATATTATTAACGTGTCTAATCCAAAACCACTTGATGATGGTTACTTTTAATTTTAGTTCTTCATATAAGTATATCATGAGTTATTGCTATGTGTTATATTTTTCAATTTGAAATATTTTTGAATTAATAATTTTAGTGGTTAAAAAAACAATGTAACAATGAAAATAAATATTTTATGAAATGTTAATATAATGATGCGATTTAAGTATTCAACAGAAAACTATCTATAAAAGATGGGGTTTTTAAACGATTGGCTTAACCGGTATAAATGATCCTTGTTTTACTAATGAAATCGATTGTTGGTTATTATTTTGGTTTTGCTTCCATGTTCTTCTAGAACCGGTTAAATCCACGTCAGCTGAAATTTTTTTAAAACAATTTCATACTTATTTTTTTTAGAAAATTACTCTGTAAAATAAATTGACACACGCACAACAAGCACACACCTTTTCCCCTTCTTCACTAAATCGTCTCTTTTCCGTTTCTTCGAGCTCAAATCCCAACGTCAATGGCGGTTCCGATTCACTTTCTCATCAACTCTCCACATGAATCATCCGACGAAGAGTACAACGGCTTCGAGATTTCTTCATCTGAAGACGAGTCCATGGAAGACGAATCGTCCGAGTTAGAAAACACAAACGGAGGATCTCACTCTTCTCCTCTCTCCAATCTCGTAAACGAAGGTACACATTCACCATTTCCTCTGTTTCTACTCTGTAAAAGCTTGATCGAGTCTGGTTATGTCGAGTATTGTGAGGTGATTGCGTTAAAATCTGGAAAAAAAAAGTAAACGATGCGTATCTCTGATTTTTTGTGTTACAGAAAGTGAGAGTGATGGTACTGAGGAAGAGTTTTGGGTTAAGTATCCGTATTTGAAGGAGCTAGTGGAGATTATTGTAGCTCAAGGTTTGATTTCTGAAGAAGTAGCTTTTGAGAGAGTTAAGCTTATTGGTGATGATAAAGCTAAAGCTAAAGAATTGAATGATGGATGGAAAGCTTTGTGTCTTAAGGAACAGGATTTGGGTAATCAGATGCTTGAGCTTCTTGAAACCCTGAAAATTTGAGGAATTTTTCATGTTTTCTTTTGGTCTGTGAGAACTTTGAACTATTATGTATCGTTTATGTTTGGTATTGATGTGTTCATCTTTATGAATGTTAAAGAAAAGATTCACAGTTTTTGCAAAGTTTCTTATATAGTTCTTTAGATATGAATCAAACCAAAACTTTCTACATTGAAACTGATATCAAAAACTGTGGCGTAAGTATTAAACTATATCAAACTCTGAGTTCATCGCCATTAAAACGCTATGTAGGAAACGTTAAACAAAAAAACAGAGTCTTTGGTGTTTCTTCAAACGTCGTCGTCCGATGTTGTTGTTTTCAGAAGTTTCTCGACATTGTCTTGAGAGAAAGAAGCTGTTCGTAAGAGAAGAGACAAACACCATGAGAGGAAAGTACGTTTCGTGAACCTGGAGAATTCGCAATAACTTGAAGAATCTGTTGACGTGTTAGCGATTTGAGCAAATCGGATTCTCCTACTTCTCCGGCGGTGTTGTAGACAGATTCAAGAGGCATCCAACTGAGTGAAGCAATTTGAGATTGAAGAAACTTGATGTATCTGTGAGATTCTTCTAGAATCATCGCTAAACTCATTTTGTTTTCCCATGGCATAAGTTTCTCCAAGGATCTGATTTTGTCAGAGATCTTCTTTCGTTTGGTAATACCAGTACCACCGTCGTTTGTGTTTGATGATGACGCTGTTGGAGATCCGGAGTTTGTTGAAGAGGAATACGAGTTAAGCTTCTTGCGACGTTTAGCGTCGGGAAGAGGAAGAGGAGGAGAGAGAGATGGAAAGAGCTTCATCGTCGTCGGTTCTTCTTCCACGGCGGGTGGTTGTTCGATGGATGTGAGATTTGGTAAGTGAAGAAACGGTGTTGTGGTGGTGGCGAGGTCGTTTTGAAAGAGCTGAGTGGAGTCGTAAAAGAGATGTTCGAGGCGAGTTGACTCAGTGAGGTGGTGACGATTGAGGAGAGACAGTGTTGAGTCGAGAAAGAGCGAGTCAGCATGAGAGAGAGACAAGTCGAGTTGGTGGTCGGAGAAGGTGAAGGAAGAGGGAGTGAAGTCGGAAGGTGGAAGCGGTGGTAACTCAGTGAGCGAGTCAAACTCAGTCTCCATTTTCTCCGACGAAAGCAAAAAAACAGAGAGAGAGAGGAGAAAATGAGAATGAAGCGTGACTGTGTGAAGAAGAGAATAAAAACAGAGAGATATCCACGTGGCTTGTGATGATTGGGTGGAGAGAGAAAAAAGAAATAAGTAAGAAAAGAAAGATGTACACGTGGCGTTTTGTGATTGGGTGGTGTAGAGAAGGCGGCGACACGAGGAACGAAGACGATTCCGTTATATGTTTTTGTCGACTGTTTGTCGCGCGACCCTCGTCAGGCGGTTTCAGGGTATTGTACTGATTGAATCTGGACCGTTGGATTGTTTTTAAGATCAGATGATACTGATCCCATGGACAGGGATTTTTGTCAGGTAGCGAAACAAATTCTGATTTACGGATTTGTGCCATCGTAATGATGTTACTGTAAAGTTTTTTTCTTTTGGGGGCGAAGCCACGTGTACTTTTCTCCAACCGTGACTGCAAAAGTTTCTGGTAAAGAAATTTGAAATGTTTTTTTTTTTTTGCATTACCTTATATTCGTGATTGTAAATTTGTAACAAAAAAATAAACTGTTCAAAACTAAAATACACAAGAAATTGTAAAAAAAGGTTAGCAACATCAACACTTGTGTGTAAAAAATATGTCACATCACATTGGCCTGGATAGTTTCATTAATATTTTGTCTATTGTTTAAATTTTGGTTACATAATTAAAAGTTTAGCAACAACAACATTATATAATATATTTAGAGCAACAACAATGGTTGAATTCTTAAAAAGATTCTTAAACATTTTATAATCTTACTCTATGCCATTTTTAAAGTTAAGAGCTTTTTATGAATCCTTTCAAATTTATTTGTCCAATGGTGAGTCCTTAATTAAGTAGGTTTCTTAAAACAAAAACTCAGATTATGAATCAATGTGAGTTAGGTTTAGATAGGCATATCATCCACTTCACTTATAAGACTGACGGCTAATTCTCTGGCAACTTAAGCAGTACACTCTCTTCGAAATGCTTTGCTAAGAATGAGTCGGAAGCTAGGGAGACTTGGGTTTAAATTAGGAGTGGCTGCTTCTTTCTCAACTGGTACAGGCTTTGGTGTGTAAGTAAAGTTGAGATCTTTGTTGGCTGCAAGTGCCACAAGCTCTTTCTCTTCAAGGCCTTTAGTCCGTCCAAGGCTGCACCTATCTGGACCATGCTTTGCCAATGCATCTCTGAATTTCTTGATCTGAAAAAAAAAACAAATCAAGATCAAAACCAAACCTAACATGGTTGTAATTGGTTGTCTCATGTTATATGGTAATGAGAACCAACCGTGGCATTGGTACAGCTAAAGCTGCAATTAAAGTAAAACCTAAAAAAAACACATGAACCCTACACCAAAATTTTCACAAATCCAAGAAATCAACAGCTCAAATTGAAAACACATGAACCCTACACCAAAATTTTCTCATCCAGTCATAATTCACTACAAAATTAAAGCAAAACCTAAAAAAAAACGTTTCTTTCAACAATTAGCTCTCAAGATCTTTCTAATTAGGTTGTGCATGTAAAGTTTGGGACAAACGAAAATGAAAACACTAGAAATCAAATTTACCTGAGCTGTGATGGATGACGATCGGAAGCTCCTTCTGAAGCTCTCGTCTTGAGCATCACCGAAAATGATCTGTTTTCCATGGAATTCATTTCTAAGAGGCTTTTGATTCTTCAGCTTCTGACAAGAGAAACTCTTTTTCAGACCGATCTCTCCCAAAATCGCCGTCGGAGATAACAAGGTGTGAGAGAGAGAGGCTCGAGAAAAATGAATCGGGAATTTTTTTTATTTTTCTCTGTTTACGAACCAATAAACGGTACCACGTCAGCGCCTCTTATGAGGCCAAAAAACTCTAAAACAAGAAACGTTTCTTGGGTTTAAAAACAGTTTTGATTTAAATTTGGAGTTTTTTCTTTTAAGAAACTAGGCTTAGAGCTCTATAAGAGCCACCATTGCTGTTGCTCATATACACAAGAAATTGGAGAAAGCGATTGGCACAGATAGAACGTGCTTTCTTGGAAAGGGAAACCTGGTAAATAAAAGAGAAAGTTACGTAACTGTTGTAAAATGGCTCGTCTGTTTTAACCACTGTAACAAATCTTGTAAATAAACTGACAAGGTCAAAGTTTGACTTATTATGTATAAACTTGCATGACGGCAAAAATGATATTTTAACCCGAATGTAAAGGAAATGATTGTTATTACTTGTGCCAAGAGGCTCACTAATTAAAGCAATATCATCTGGGCTCGATGATGATTGATGACAATATATCAAAACATCTGCATTGGAGACATTTGACATTTGTAATTTTTTGTTAATGCTCTAAATGCACTTTCTCCAGTGTAAAGAAAGAAAAAAACAATTATCCCAAAACCTATGACAAAAATTTGTAATTTAATAGATAACCTATTTAAAAGGAAATAAAACTGAACACATATAATTGTATTACGATATGATATGATTACAACAACGGAAAGACTAGAAAAAAAAGCTAAGTATTCTTGGTTTTGTAGTTGTCGGCGATAATGACTTGTTACTAAATCATGTTTGTTTTGCAGTTGCAAGAATTTAATGACATGGTTCAGCGAGTAAAACATGTCACTATAATTTTCATCATTGGCGTAATCCAAAATCTAAACTGTAATTTTCAGTTTTTTAAAATTTATATTTATAAGTCGCAGAAATCGAAAGACATCAACTACTCATGACCGTCATTGAGCACAGCAAGGTGAAATAATTGTTTTTGGTCCCCAAAATTCTAGATATTTTTTTTTCTACAAAATAGACTCCCAAATTTATTTTACTTTTGTGATTTATACAGCCAACCCTTTAAAAATTACTATAAAACTCTTAAAACTTTTTTAAACCCCCAAAATTTTGGGGCCGGCTTTGCAACTAGTGAGAAAACAAATTTAGTCGTTGGATGATTGGTCACTGCAACTGGAAAATGATTGAATTTTGTTATGATTTTGTCAGTTTTCCTCATTTGTTTATTTCGTATTGCATGTCTTTAGTCGGTTTTAGTAGATTTTTAAGTGCTTTTTTAAGTGTCTTTTCAAAATTTTACTGGTTAAGGGTTGTGTTTGCTGGGGAAAGAGCTATGGACGAGTGTTTGGATCGAAAACGAAGAGATTTGGGCCACATGGCCCGTTAAATTTAGCAATATCATCATCTACACATTTCAAATTTGTAATTTGTGTGTTACTAAAGCATTTTCTTTTGGTTCTTTGTTTGTCCGTCTCGTCCATTTTCTCCGGTGTAAAAAGAGAAAGAAATACATTTCCCAAAACATTTTTTTGGTCGCATTTCCCAAAACCTTTGAAAAATTTTTTTAAAGAATATTCAAGAATATAACATTCTTAAACCAAGTTCAAGTGTGATATCCGCATGATGACATAACTAGATGTAAGCAGTGGCGGAGCCAGAAATTTTTATTACAGGGGTCAATATTAATAAAATTATATAGTAATAATCATTTATTTGTACTATATATTGTTAAAATTAAATTTCATTACTTTAGGTACTAGTTTTGGCTTTTAAATATTAATAAAGCATAACTGAGAATAACATCATGTATTATTGTCACAAACCCTATAACTTATATATGATTTTACATAAAAATAGATAATAATGGAAGAAATATTTAAATCTTTGTATGAGATATGAGTATTGGAGTCTCAATAACTATTTCCTATTTTTATTATTTATACAAAAGGTATGAAATATAAATATTTTTATTTCTCAAGATGTAGAAGAATGACAAAAACAAAAATTAATATGTAAGACAGATAAAAATTATGTATTAAAACTTAAAAAGACTAAAGAGACACATAAATAAGAACAATTAAATAAAGAAAAATTGTAAGAGGGGGTCAAAAGGAGTAGTTTAACGTGAGCCATAGGGGTCAATGGAGAAGAATCAAGCCAAAATAAGCCATTATGTACCATATAAATAAGCATGCAAACAAGAATTCTTAAATTTCATTGGGGTCAACTGACCCCCTTGGTTATGAGTTAGCTCCGCCCCTGGATGTAAGTATATAAATATATAATTATAGCAAAATATGCTCGACTAATAAATCAATGATCTCTGCTATGATCAGAGCCGTAGCTGGATAGAAGCAAGAGAAGCGGGAGCTGCGGCCCTCCGAGAAGTTATTAATATTTTCGGCCCTCAAATACCAATGTGTTTTGGTAGCCTAGTGGTATTATGTCATACACCACATATCTTAGGTCATGAGTTATTGTTTTTTGTTTTTTTTTTATGGTTAAATTTTTTTATAAGTATACACTTTTCTAAAGCGGCCCTTTTTTTTTTTTCGTGGGCGGCCCTCATAATCATTGCTACGGTTCTGGCTATGATTATCCAATACCACCTTGATTTAAATCCAGTTTCTTTTCAATATCGAGTTAAATAGGATCATGTCACATGATCATGAACGATACATGAAGCAAAAATACAACGTGGAATGTTTTTACACTCCGTGTTCTATTAGTTGATGAGAAGGTGTGTCCTTTAATGTGATTGTGTGAGAAATGATCGTACGTTTTCATAATCTAAAAGTATGAAGGAACAAAAGTAGGGAATCCTATCCCTCCAAAGCAGATTCAAGCAAAAGGTAGGAGATGACATGACCACATGACCCAAAACTCAAGGATTTTAATACATAGAAAATTTCTTTGTTTCTATCACAAAATAAAAAAAGAATACATATGGACTGATCGATGTGGCCACAACACACATATAATAGTGGTACAACGCAAGGGTTCATTAGTTTAATTTGATAGAAAGTTGTGACTTGTGAGTCATTGCAATGCAATGGTGGTTCCATATAGTTTTATATTGGTATATAATTGCTATATCAACTCACTAAATATTTTTTTTTTATGAATTTATAAAGCTTTATTTTTTTTTGGTAAAAAAAATTATAAAGTTATATATATATATGTCTAGTTGATGAACCTTTTTAATCTCTAACGTACAAATGGTAAGATTGCAATTTGCATTTAATTACTTTATTAGGTTTTACACCACGTGAGCTATATTGGTGTTTCACGTAAGCACCTTAACATTTAAACTCCACTCTGTCTAGCTATACCTAGTAACGTTATTGTATGAATTAATTATGGATTTTGCCGACATTTATGGATTTTGCCATTTTTTGAATAATTTATAGATTTTGCCTTTTTTTAGGCTCCAAAAATATGATTTAACATGCGTTTCATTCGTTATGTTTGGGTTTAGTCGGTTCCAGTTGTTCTTAGGGTTTAGTATTTGGTATAATATATGTATTTTTGCAAAAAAAAATTATAAATACGTACATTTTTAAGTGTTAAAAAAGGGCAAAATCCATAAATTATTCAAAAAATGGTAAAATCCATAAATGTCATTATAAAAAAGGGCAAAATCCGTAATAAACCCATATTGTATTCCAGGTTTCCATTTGGTTTTGTTTTAGATTTTTTTGGTTAGTGTGACTTAGTTAATATATCTTGAATAGTGAATACCAAAACCAATAATAAAAAAAATCAACTAAATTATGCCTCCGTTTTTTTCCATGCAGTTTAGTAAATTTATCCAAAATACACCCAAATTTTCCCAAATTAAGAAACCAAATTAATAAGATGGAAAGGAAAAAAAAAAAGTAAGATGGCTAATACTGTGAAGAAATGGCTCACACTATTGGGCACTCAAATGGGCCAGATACGGCAATAGTTGTAAATACCTATTGATATGAGGGGTAAAAGTGTCCTTGCAGAATGTAAGTCACGTGAGCCCCGTTCCATGGCTTTTTTCCCACCACTAGGAGCTTCAGTGCATGAGCAGTTGAAACCAAATCACACTTTTATTTATATATATATATATATATATTTTTTTGTCGTCTAAATTTTATTAGAATACCATAGAAAAATACATGATGAAATACATATGCCGGTGGAAAAACGAGATATCCCCAGAGACAGAAACTCAAAAGAAGGAAGCAGAAACCCTAAGTTACAGGAAAACTAATGAAAACGATGAAATAACAATCCACAAACAATGAAATTTATTTATTTATATTTATTATATGACTTTTATTTTTGTTAAGAAAAAAATTTCACATTTTTTGAGTCTTTTCTTTTTCTTTTGGTGTCGTCTAACGAGTGCTATTTTTAGCCTTTTATCTCTTCTACTGTGGCGGTGCCTCGTTTATTAACAACTAGTTTCTTGTTATTTTCTGAATAGTATTTTAATTATTTGTTATGCCATTATACTAATACATGATTTTTATTTGCAAAAATTGATATGTGTATTACATACTTTATATATATGAAGAATTATTGATATTATAAAGTTGCATACTTGCATGTCATTATAAACGAATATAATAATTATATATTCTTGATTTTGTATCTTTGATAACGTCTCGATGTATTCAATTTTTTTCTCCTTTTCAATTATTAAAATCTAGAAATAGTATGATAAATAAATCAAATTCAGTTTGGTCCACATAGTACCAATTTTGTTGTGGTCGGGTCTTTAAGGGAAATAAGTATATACTTCATTTATTAATCAACTGAAAAATACATAAGTTTATGCATCTAACCAAATAACCAACATATGCATCTAACCAAATAACCAACATAACAAAGAAAAAAAAACAGTATTACACGACCAAGCATTATTTGCAAGAAATTTTGTTTTATAATTCCTCTATCTAGGTTCATACACCTACAAAGAATCCAACTTTTCCTGAAAGCTATTTTATTATCACTGGAAAAACGAATATTAGTGTTAATTTTAATAAAAAGATAGCTTCTTTTTTTGTTTTATTGAAAGGCTCTCATATAAATGTTACTTCCTTATCTCAATACATTTTATTTGACCACTGCACGATTCATTCTAAAGTTTGGTCTACGATTAGTCCATGAGTTAAAATAATCCAAATATATATAAAGTTGATTAGAGAGATAAATAAATACAGCATGATGAAGAAAAAAAAAAGGGAACATAGCCTAAAAAGCTTCACCAAGCTTACACTAATAAACTTTACCTGAAAAATAAATGATTAATTACTGGTTGATCAGCTGATCAAAAGGTAAAATGCGTTGTCATCACTCATAATATTTACTAAATGAATAAAAAAACTTTATATTATAATACGGAATAAACAAAAAAGTACCCTTTATCTTTTTAATAAAAAAATAAAATTGTTTTATTAGCAAGAATGTCAGAGAATAGGTCTCAGTTCTCATCTCTCTCCCTCTCTCTATCTCTACTATAACAGTGAACAGAGAGGTGTTTGTTTGGACACGCCTTTGTTGTTGCTTTGGACTCTTTCTTTTTTTATTTACTCTCAATTTTTTTTTTTTTTAATCAGTGACCAAAATAAAAACCAACCACTAATTTGTGGGTGCTTCACCAATAGACTTGACAGACATCAAAAGAGAAGACTAATACAAAATCTGACAATCACAAAACCAACAAAAGTTTCTTGCTTCTTTGCTCTTTGTCTTCTTTCTCTTCTCAGCATAAATCCACACCTCTCTCTCCACTGTTACTCACTTCTTTCACCACATTTCTTTTCTCTTTTGGGGGAAAAATCAAGAAAAAGAGAGATAGAATCTAGTTCTACCCAAGAGTGTTTTTAGTTTCTTTCTCTTTTTTTGGCTATGGAAGCTTGTTGCTCTGATCTTGAAGTAGACATCAATGGAGAAGAAACTATCTTTCTCAATAAGGTAAAGTCCCTCTTTAGAACTAGCTAGCCTCAAAATACAAACTTTAACCATTTCTCAATGTTAATTTCACTTTTTCTTATCTGGGTGTAGTTAAATTCTTGTTCTTGCCTTAAATATTGATTTACAAGTTCTAATTTCTATTTTAAGAAATACATTTTTTTTGTGTGTTTTGTTTTGATTCTGTGATAGTAATATTTTATGGCTCACGTACTGTGTGTGACTCTGCTACATTTAGCATTTAATGTCTTCTCAACAAATTACCTTAAAATGAGGGCACACAAATCTCTCTTTTGTTTTTCCTGTGAAACCAATAATCACTAATTTGGAATCTGTAACCTGATTTCTCTGAGTATCAATGGACTCAAAAGTTTTGGTTAAGTGAGTAATGAAGTAAGATGTCTCCATCATCATTTATTGCATTTTTTGTTCTTATACTTGTTCTCTGACTTTCTCCCATATTTCTCTGTAAATCAAACAAAATTTTGCCCCTCTTTAGAAGAAGATAAGAGGCTTTGTTTGGATTTTTCTTGGATACTATTCACTTCCCTTTTGTTCTTACTTGTTATTGTGTGACTTATGAGATGATCTTAAATGATTGGAGACACAGAGACCTTTGTGTAGTTGATACTTAATTTCCTTCCTGTCTTGTAATAACTGTTGCCTTTATTCCTTCACAAAACATGGCTTAAAGTTTTTAGCTTTTTTCTTGTGGGTCTTTTTGTGTTCTTGAAGAAACTTACTCATATGACTTACTTTTGTGTTGTTTTGTATTTTGACTGCAGCAAATCATATGTGCTTATTCTGGAACGTTAAGGAAACTTTTGGGGAAATCAACTTGTTCCAATGGAAATCTCAAGGTGATCTTTAATGATTTTCCTGGTGGAGGGGAGAGTTTCGAGCTTGTTTCGAGATTTTGCTACAATAACGGTCGATTAGCTGTGATGCCTTCGAATGTAGTTTTCTTGCATTGTGCTGCTAAGTTTATGGAAGTCACTAAAGTCTTGGAACAAACAGAGAAGTGTATGGAAGAGATTCGGTATTGGGCTTGGCCAGAGGTTCTTCTCTGTTTAAAACAGTGTCAAGAAGTTGAAACATCGCCCGTAGCTGATTCTTTAGCTGCGAAACTGATGGATGCGTTAGTGGAGAAACTTTGTTTAACTATTGAAATGAGTCCTTCTAGTGCTGCTTCTGCTTGTTCACCAGATAGCAGCTTGTTTCGAGTTTTCTTGTGATAGTAAAAGTACCGAGAGTTTCACGAATAGCTCTGTTCGG